AACCAAAAAAAAAAAAAAAAAAAAGATAAATTGGACTTTAATAAAAATTAAAAACTTTTGGCTTCAAAGGACACCATCAATAAAGTGAAAATACAGCTCACTGAATGGGAGAAAAGATTTGTAAATCATGTATCTGACAGGAGACTTGTATCTAGAATAAATTCTTACAACTTAACAATAAAAAGATAAATAAACCAATTAAAAAGCAGGTACAGGATTCAAATAAACATTTTTCCACGGAAGATTTAAAGATGTCCAACAACAAGTATTGGTGAAGTTGTAAAGAAATTAGAACCATTATACATGCTGGCAGGAAATAGTACAGCTGCTGAAGAAAGTAGCCTGACAGTTCCTTTAAATAGTTAAATATAAAATTACCATATGACCCAGAAATTCCACACCTAGGTATATACCCAAGAGAACTGAAACACATGTTCACACAAACTTGTACACGAATGTTCATAGCAGCATTATTGCCAAAGTAGTCCAAAAGTGGAAACCCAAATGTCTATCAACTGATGAATGGATAAACAAATGTGGTATTATCCATACTTTGGAATATCATTCTGCAATAAAAAGGAATAAGTACAGTCGACCTTCAAAATACTTGGGTTCTGCATCTGTGAATTCAACCAACCTTGGATGGAAAATATGCATTTGGAAAAAAAAAACTGCATCTGTACTGGATATGTATAGTCTCTTTTCCTCGTCATTATTCCCTAAACAATACAGTATTACAATTATTTATATAGAATGTACACTGTATTAGGTATTAGAAGTAATCTAGAGATGATTTATAGTATTCTGGAGGATGTGCATAGGTTATATGCAAATACTATATCATCTCATATCAGGTACTTGAGCACCCACAGATAGTGGCAATACTAGCAATGAACACTCTGAATTGGAACAAATCAACTATGGATATCAAGGGACTACTGTATGACACATGCTACAAACAGACAAACCTAAAAACCCGCTAAATAAACATGCCTATACACAAAGGGTTACATGTATGATTCCATTTATACAAAACATCCAGAATAGACAAAAAGATTAGTGGTTGCTGGGGGTAGGAAGCATGGGGAGGGACTGGTAATGCCTATGGGACTTCTTTTTGGGGTGATGAAAATATTCTGGAGTTAGAAAGTGGTCATGATTGAACAACCTTGTGAGTATACTAAAATTCACTGAACTTCCCACATAACCCCAGAACCTAAAATAATTCTCAAAACCTATCAGGTAGTCACTAAATAACTGTGAAGAAAAAGCTAGTATTCAAAAGGAAAAAACAATTGGCACCTAACA